TGGCAAGCCAGTGAGACAGAGCCAGAGAGCCCCGATGTGAGAGAGTTTGAGATCTGTGGGGGCAGATATCTTGTTCTCTACCCAATAAGCCATTCTGCCCTATAATAAAATAATAAGAGATTTCATTATTCAATTTCCCTTGCAGGCAATGGTCAAAGTACCTTTCCCTCCTCTTCTTCCTGCCTGACTAAAACCTAACACGATGGTTGGAGTTGCAGCAGCTGTAATGAACCATGAGGCCTCCTTAAAGGTAGAAGATAAGTGCTAAAGATACTGAAGCAAGTGATAGGAGGAATCTGGGTGCCTGGTCACTTTGTGCAGCCATCCATTCCCGCCTAGACGGCCGGCCCCTGAAATTCTACCTGAGAGAAAACTAAACCACTATGCCATTTAAACCAGTTATCTGGGTTTTCTCTTCTCTTTAGTCAAACCTAATGCCAAGTAAAGCCAAACTCAAGTGGCCCTCAAGTCGACCTGGAGTTTGTTACTGTCTCACTTTGAGAATTAGAATGTGTCCTTGAGAAGTGCTCTCGACCTTAGGACCTCCGAACACCCGGGTTTCTGCACATTCTTGAAGGGTTAATGTGGGGAGCTGTGCCCACACCCTTATTTGGACCTTCTTTGCAAATAATGCCAGAGAAACACGTGCCTAGGGGAGGCACAGCCACTGGCCCTCCTGAATGGCAGGTGAGGCTTTGGGAGGGAACAGGGAAGTGAGAACCACAGGAGAGAGGCTCGGAGTGAGGGAGGACTTGGTGGGGGGCGAGGGGTGAACAGGCTGGCAGGTCAGGCGAGGCAGGGTCAGGGGGCCGGCGACAGGGTCACTTACGGGTGCCTGCATGGTACTTGAGGGCGCTGACACTGTGCCTGTGGGCCGTGAACGTGCGCACGGGCTCCCCTGTGTCTGCCACCCAGCACTTCACTGTCCTGTCGGCACTGCCTGAGTACACGTGCTGGTTCACGAGCTGGGGGAGGGAGGGTGGCACCAGACATTGGCACCGCAGGCCGCAGCAGGTGGCTGGGAAGCCCCTCCAGACCCTTGTGTAATGGGGAGGGGCAGCAGGTCTCAGTGGAGGAACTGTGGGTGAGCCAGAAACCGGCCTGCCTGTGGGTCCCAACCGGCTGCCTAGTCCTGCCCCCAAGACCACGCTGCTCCTCCCCTCTCCGCAGAGTGGGGTGGGCTCGGGAGGACGAGCGGCAGGCAGGCAGGCCTGGCTTCAGATCTTGACTGTCACACAGCCCTGGACCAAGTCACTGCCTCTGCTCCTCGGCTGCTTCACCCGTAGATAAGGGTCACAGCAGCCTCTTCTTGTGGGGTTCACAGATGCGGCCCGTACAGAGCTCGGCACTATAGAGCGAGGACCCCACAAAGCTCGATGGCATTGTTATTACTGTCAGCAGCTGCCTGCTGAGCAACAGCCTGGCATCTGGGAAAGTAACATGAATCCACCTACAGCCACTGCCAGGCTGTACCAGGCGCTCCCACGTGCTGTCCTGGCTGGGAGGAGACAGGGCTGCCAGGGCAGGCTTTCACCCTGGACTTCTGCTCGTGGAAGGGCAGATAGAAGACAGGTCTAGAAGTAACCCAACTGGCTCTGGTGTGTGGGAGAAAGAGCTCTGGTAGGGCCAGAGCTGCACCTCTGGGGCCACCCTGGGGTCCTGCCCTCTGGCCCTGGGGCTGCCAGTGGGGGGCAACAAGGGCCCTGAGATAGGCCCCCCTCCTCCCACTGCCCCAGAGGACTGGGGTGCTGTGCACACCTCCACTCAATGTCACTGGAGGTAAGCAAAGAGCCCAGGAGACAAGAGAAGGGGCTTGGAAGGACCCTCTCACAGGAGCGCCCCTGCCAGAGAGGACAGTGTCCTAGCCCAAGGGAAGTGCAAAGGCTATTAAAATAATTGTGCAGATTTCCCTGGACAAAACACCACACAACCAATGGAGCCCCACCCAGCACCTCTGGTTAGCGGAGACACTGACAAGAACCACAGGCCGGGCTGGGCAGGGGCCTGGCTGCAGACAGCGGGCCTCTTCCTGCAATGCAGGACCCAGAAGATGAGGGCAGGCAACCAGCCCCAGAGGGAGCCAGGCCGGGCCCAGGGGCCCCCGGAGACCCAGGAAAGCTGCAGTACTGCCCCAAGGGCAGCGGACAGCTGGCCTAGAACCAGTCCAGGCTGGCCACTGGCATCCTCAACACGTCCCACCCCCTCCTTGCTCAAGCACACACCTGCCCATCCCTGCCACCCTCTGGGCCACTTTCCAGTCCCCACAGCTGTTTGCTCATACAATTTCCCAGGGTAAGTCCTGGAGAACAGGACCCCGACTAGCCCAGCTCATCCCTCCACCTAAGGCCACGGCACAGGTCACACGTGGGCTTGTGCTGATCGCTGTGGCAGAGGCAGAGGAATCTCGAGGAGCCACGGCCTCCCGGGGGCAGAGGCTGCAGGTGGTTTCCGTGGGTGGGGGTGGAGGCAGGTGTGGCTTGCCAGCTCTCAGGCCCTGTCCTAGAGCCCTGATAGGTCACCACTGGCCCCAGCCAGTGAGGCCTGCTTTCTGGATCTCATTGGCCATCCCCTCCCCAAGGATGGGGACGCATGTGACATCAGCACACCCAGGGGCCCCAGCAGAGCCCAGAACATCACCCTGGCCTCTCGCTGTCTGCATACCCCCAAGAGATCATACCCGGCCATTGACAGGGACAGGGCAGCGCAGCCATGGGGCTTCCCGAGCTTGCCCAGCCCCTTCAGCCCAGGTGTGACCTGGTTTTCCCAGGCCCACCTGTGTCCTCGCTGTCCTCTGAGAACCACGGACACACACTGTCCCCCCCGCCCAGGTTCTTACAAGTTCTTTCTGCCCAGAAAGCACCCCCACATGGACCCCCACCCCGCCCTTCTAGGGCAGGCCGCCCTCTCCCTCCCGCACGGCGCCTACGTCCTGTCCCGCATGTTGGCCACCGCTGGCCCCAGTGCTTCTGCACCATCCCCCCGCCAGTCGTCCCTCTCAGGGGCAGCCCCAGGCTGCTGGTGACCACACTTTCCAAATTATCCACCGAGACACAAGGATCTAATAGGAAGGGTAGTGTGCGGGACCAAGCCTCCCGTGGAACACCCAGGCCACATGGCCGCCACACAAAGGAGGCCCTGAGTGTCCACGGCAGCCAAGGCAAAAGAGTAGCCCCTTCGCAGTGTAGTGGGCTCCCCTGCAGCGTGTCCAGACCATGTGAGGCTGTCACACTGTGTCTAAAAAGACCAAGCGGTGCACATTCAAAGCACGAATCCCGAGCCCAGAGGCTGAGGAGAAGCTCCGAGCACGCTGTCCTTGGCTGACCGAGGCCTCACTGTTCCCTTTGGCTGGTCCTGAGAGGACACTCATGGGGAGCTGCAGGGTGGCCTGGGGGGCCCGGAGGCAGATGGGGTGAGCAGGACAGGCCTTGGCTGGCATGTCACGAAGGCCAGGTCCTGCAGGGCCGCCCACAGCCAAGGCAGTTCGGAGGGGGCAGGGTTCACGAGCCATCTCCCTGAGATGTGACCCACCCAGGCAGACGCAGGACAAGATCCCTGCGCTGTGGCCTCCCCGCAGCTCCAGCAGGCAGCCCGCTCACCAGGCCAGGGGAGGAGAAGCAGCTGGGCCAGGCTCCAGGCAATGCCTGCTCGGCAAAGCTGTCAGGAGGGGCTCCCCCACTCCAGCGGAGGGCGGCACCACACCTGTATAAGCTGCTGGTTGCAAGCATGGGTTACATGTTTGGTTTTGGTTCAACTGTCTCTGCTCCTTACCAGCTGAGAGACCTTGGGCAAGCTGCTTACCCTCTCTGCGCCTCCACCGTCTCATGCACAAAATGAGAAAAAATAATGTCCCGTCATGAGGCTAGATGCAATAACGCACACAGCATGTCCTAAACCGGGAGCCACTTCTCATCCCTAAAAGGCAACCGCATCCCCTGCCCCAGCCCCTCTGGGTTTGGCAGGACGCTGCCTTTGCAGGCAAAGAGGGGTGTGCTCTGCTGCAGCTGCGGAGGGCCACATGCTCCCCACCACCCCCGGGCTGCCCCACACCTGGAGCTCCCCTCCTTTCTCTCTCTGTGGGTATTTGAAGTGCTTATTTATTTAAAAAGATATGAGTAAATATGATGCAATGTTCATATCTCATTTCAAAAGTAGGAACACGGGGGTCTGTTTTCCTATTTGCAATATGCTCTATGCTTGAAATGTTTCATAAGTAAAATTTAAAAGGCATAAGCAAAAAAATAATACGAAGCAACAGGGAAGTCCCTGCCTTCTCTTTCTTCACAAGGACCTCCTGGTTGAGCCCAGACCCCCAGAGCAGCAGAGGAGGGAGCAGCCCCCCAGCATGGTTACTGGGCTTGACCGTGAATTTACTACTTGGAAGCAGGCCCTCGCTTCTGCTCTGGTCCACCCTCCCGAGGAGGCCTGCGTGCTCCGGGCTCGGCCCCAGCCTGGCTTCTGGGACCTTCTGGGGTTGGTCTGGGGCCGGTGGGCTCCACCCTGGGTACCTGAGGAAGGTATCCCCTGACTGGGGTAGACATAGTGAACGGGAAAGCAGAGGCCCCTCAGGTCTCAGGAGATGTCTCAGGCCTCGCCTCTGCTCCTGGGAGGTCAGAGTGGGCCTGCACGGGGTGGGAAGGTGTTTCGGAGGGCACCTCGTCCGCACAGGGCCACTGGGTTCAGAGGTGGGGCACAGCAGGGTGGGTGACCCTGTAGTTTCCTCATTTCCTCCCTGACCTCAGGAACGGCAGCCCACAAGCTTCTCTCAACACGCAAAGGGAGCCTGAGCTGCTTCGCGTGACGCCCACAGCACCAGGCACTGGCCACCCCAGGGCCACACTCACGCTCACAGGAGACTGCAGATGATGCCGTGGGTGCTCAGACTGCAGCCATGGGTGCTTCCCCACCAAAAATTGCCTGAGGTAAGGCCACGAGGCTCACAGACCATCGTGGGGGCCCAGATGCTCCAGGGGCCTCCGGACACCTGGGAACCCAGCCTGTCTCTGCAGGGCTTCTGGGAGGGCAGCCTGGCCCTCGCCCAGGTCATTTCCCTGTCTCAGGGGCATAGACCTGGCTGTGTGCTAGGGGGAAGGGGCAGGGAAAAGTAACAGATGTGAACCCGGGGGTCACCTCCTGTTTGGAGAAGGTGAGGTGCAGAAGGTTGAATGCCCCCAACCCTTCTGCTGTGCTTCACACTCTGCCTGGAGATGACAGCTGGTCACAGTGAGGGACCCACACAGCAGTGGGGCAGGGACCGCTAGGTGGCCTCAAAGGTTCTGAATGCAGGGTGACATCGGTGAGCAGTTCTGCTAAGAGGCAGATCAAGAGAGGTGGGAAGGTGCCTCCACCCCTGCGACAGGGAGCAAGAGGGCACCTTCAAAGTGGACAGGGCCGACACAGTTAGAAACGCCTGAACGTCAGTCACACATGCATTTCCCAAGTTGCAGTACAACCAGATTTGACGTCGCAATAGTGGAAACAATAGGAAACAAAACAGGGAGACTCCCGGATCTAGTGTCCAAACTACAGAAAGGCCACCTGCTGCCCTGCACCCCATGTGCCCTGGCCATGTGTCTCCCCTCTCCAAAGAGGTGGGGCAGCCCTGCATTTCCCAAATGCAGGATTTCTGAATTGCAAACGAAGATTGCATAGGCACCCTGTGGGTCATCTGTTGAACTGCCTCAACCATGGAGATTCTATCCAAGCAAAATGGAGCCCTTCCTTACTCCACTGGTCCTGGTATCCCAGGACTGCCCTTTACCCTGAAAACCCAAAATGGGTGTCCTGGCCTGGCTCTGCAGGGGACTGCTGCCCTTGGCTTCCTGGTGCCCTGAGCATACCCCTCTCACTTCATGTGTGGCATCCCTCCAGAGCCTCGGGTGCCACCGAGCACTGCACCCAGGTGTGGAAGCCAGCGTGGAGGAGGGAGATGCCGGTGAGCCCCTGAGCAGGACATCCAGGTCCCACAGCTGGAAGGATCCGGTCCAGGTGGCCCTGGCCAAGGGCAGGCAGCGCATCCCTTAGATAACAGCTGCAAGAGTGAGGCTGACAGCGTCACGTGATGGAACAGGCACCAGGGGGGTGTCTGCTACCGGCCATTAAGTCCTCACAACTACCCGGGGTGGGTATGACCTCACATGCATAACCCCCCAACCAAGATTTGGGGCCAGATGTGTTTCAGGATTTTTTGGATTTTAGGAACATGCTTGCATTTCCACAGGAAAGGTGTGTTCCCAGTTACTGGCCTCGTGTCTGCCAGACCAGACTTTGGCCCCAAGTGAGTCTTTTCATTTTTTGGAACTTTTGGATTTAGGAATTACAGACAGGGGGGTTGTGAATAGACATAATCCTCATTTTACATGTAAGGAAATCAAAATTCATTCATCAACAGAAGCCCTGACCCTGGTAACTGAATGTGGCTGTGCTTGGGGGAAGGGCCTTTAAAGAGTTAAGTAAGTTAAAGCGAGGTCTTTAGGGCGGAACCTAATGCAGACTGAATGGTATCCTTATAAGCAGAGAGATCTGATGCAGCGCCATGATCATGCGAGGGCAGAGGGAGAAAATGGCCATTCACAGGCCGTGGAGAGAGGCCTCGGAAGAAACCCACCCTGCAATACCGAGACCCTGGGCTTCAGCCTCAGGCCTGGGAGACAGCCACCTGTGCCCTTACATCTCCCAGTCTGTGGTGCTTTGTTATGCAGCCTGAGCTGACTGCTACACTGGGCTAGGGCAGAAGGTCAGAGGTTGGCCCTGGGGGCTCCCTGGCAGATGGGGCGGAGGCGGGTCTCACCTCCAGGCAGATGACGGAGCCCTGGTGCTCCTGGAAGACCCGCAGCTGCTCCCCGCTCAGGATGTCCCAGGAGCGGATGGTGCCGTCGGTGCTGCCGGTAAAGGCCGTGTGGCCTGGCGTGTCTAGCGCAAGGCAGAGCACCGCGCCCTTGTGGCCCCGCAGCGTCTGGTGGCAGCAGCCACTGGCCACCTGCCACACCTTGGCCGTGCCATCTGTGCTGCCCGTCACCAGGAGCCCCCCGGCCACGGCCTCCTCTGAGCAGGGAGCCCTAGGGAGGTCCCAGGGGGCAGAATAGGCTAGGGTCAGCACACAGTTGCGGTGGCCCCGGAACTCCCGGGACACCTGACCCTTGTCTATACTCCAGGCACGAGCTGTCCGGTCATAGGAGCTGCTGAAGAGCTGGTTCTTGGCAACCAGGATCCTGAAGGCAAGAGGGGAAAGGTCAGGGGTCAGAACACATAGGGTTGCCCAGTGGGCTTTCACAGGATCCCTTTGACTCATGCGTTCTGTGTTCAATAAGCCCAGGTGATGGGAAGCACAAAATGCTCCCAGCAAATGGGAGACCCAAATCTAAGAACATTTGGGGGCTGGAGAAGCCAAGGCTTCCTGCTTCAGGGAGAACAGGAAGGGGGTCAGGAGAGATACCCTAAACATGTCAGGGGTCCCAGGCACAGGCTCGGTGCCTGGGCTTCCACCACCCAGAGAACGAAGCCCAGACTCAGAGCGTGCTCGGCCACCGCCCTCCAGGCCGCACCCAGCCCAGCGAGGACGCCCACCCTGCCAGAGAGCGGCTGTCTCCACCCGGCAGCCAGGAAGGCCTCACGGTCTTGGCACCCAGCTGGTCGCACGCACCTCCTGAGTCTGGCTCAAAGCACCCTTCCCTGGGACACAGCTCGGGGTCTCCCCAGGCACTGTCCTGGGTCTCCGAGCCCCCAGCACGTGCAGAGCCCGTAGTGTGCCCAGACCTCGCCCGGCAGGGACCAAGGCTCCGACGCTTTGCACCCTCCCAACACATCACCTTCAGCGGCTGCTTGCGGGCAGGAGGTGAGGGAGGGAGGCAGACGGGAGGACGGGGCCGTCAGAAGGCCCGCCCTGCTGGTCGGCCAAGAGCCGAAAGGTTCCTGGGGAAGAAGGGCTTCCAGTTTGAAAACCAGGGAAGTTCTGGGAATGGTGAGACATGTGGTCACCCTGGAGCCGGTGCCCCCAGAAGCTCACGCACCTGGCCCTGCTCTGAACACACAGGGAGAAGCGAATTCCACGGATGTTGCCCATTTGTGAGCACAGGTACTTACTAATGCAACTGCATTAGTTCAGAACAGCCACCTGCTTGGCAGTAGTGTGCACGTGCGTTCGTGTTTGTGCTCTGGAGGGTCTAAACCTGGCAGAGCGTAATGCCCAGCCTTATTGTCCACATTTACTTTTGAGGAGCAGCTGAGTTCCCAGGTGCTGCCCGAGGGCCAGCTGGTCTCCCGAGATGGCCGCCTCCCGCCCCCGGCAGCCCTTCCGTGCTCAGGGCCTCGCCAGAGGAGGCTCCCCCACACCCACACGCTTCCTCACTCACGAACTTCTTTCTCAAGGACTCGGTCCCAGTTCTAGCCCCCCACGCTGCCACCTGCCTGCTTGGCCCTGGTCGCCCAGGTCAGGGCCACACCTGCTCTTACTAAGCAGGGAGTGGATAAAAGCTCCTGGCAAGTGGGCGCTGGGTCGGAGCTCTGCTGGCTTCCTGCTGCCCTCTCTGCTCGGAACCATCCTGCGCCAGCGCGGCACCTTACTTAGTCCTTAGGTACGTGACTTAGTCCCAGCCACAGGGAGCTGGTAGGCCAGGTCACCATCAGGCAGGCGCAGCATTCCCACCCGCCCAGGGCTGGACGGTCAGGCCGGTCGGCTCACTCCCCGACCCAGGCACACACAGAGCTCGTGCTGGCAGTGTCCTTCTGGCTGCCAACATCCTTCCCCCTGCACCTGCCAAGCCCAGCCTCTGACCCCCTCCAAACGCCTGCAGGCATGGGTCCTTTTCCTGGCTTAGACTCCGGAGCAGGGGCCAGCCCTGGTCGGGGAGGCTGCGGGGGCCCGAGGGTGCACCCCCAGACTCCTGCTTATGCTGTGTTCCCTCGGGAGTCTGAGATGGCCGGCACAAGTTACAGAAATACTGTCCAATTGATCTGATCAGCAAAGGAATTTCCATGGCTCAGCTCAGACCCAAATTCAGTAAGGAATGGAAAAATTCAAGCGTCCTGGACATGAAGCTGGTGGGATATTTTCAACATGGAAAGGAGATGTTTACAAATGCCCTTGACTCCTTCAGAGCCTCCCCCGCCTTGCTCCCCCTCCAAGCCCCTGGTCCACCATCAGGTACCAATTAAGCCATTTCCTGTGGACTTTGTTCCCAGCAGTAGGAGCTGTGGCCTCCAGGGCTTTTCCCTGTGCCTAGCTGGAACCAAGGGGCATTGGAGCTGCCAGGGCCCCCAAGGTGGGCATCTAGGCACCAACCAGCATGTGGCTGATCTCTCCCCGCCCCCACCTCCCAGCCGCCCCTGGGGCAGTTAGCACTTGGACCCGGTACACCTCTGCTCTGGGCCTCCCGCTGCTCTGTGCTTAAGAGGGACAGAGTCCCCACAGGGTCCACAGGCAGACGTCCCAGAGAAGCCAGGTTCCCCCAGGGAGGGGCCCCACGGACGACATCTCTGTCCCCAGCCACGCTGACCTGTTCACAATGGATGTGTGTCCTCGGAACACCTGCAGGCACTGCCCGTTGAGCACGTCCCACTTCCTGATGGTGCGGTCGGCGCTGCACGTGAAGGCAGCCTCATCCTCCAGCTGGCAGAAGGTCACGTAGCTCTCGTGCCCTGCAGACGGGGAGACCTGAATGTACCCAGCTTCCTTCTGGGGCAAGGGTTTGAGGTGGGGAGAAGGGAAGAAAGCAGGGGCAGGGAGTGCTCACGACAAGCCATGACTGGCCTAGCTCCCCCCAGGAGGACCCAAGTCTGGGGGGATCTCAGGAACTGTGGGTGCCGGGCGCACCTCAGGGGGCGCTCGCCCAGCCTGAGACCTCTCGTTCCCTCATCTCCCACTCTCTCCTTCCCTGCTCCTCTCTCATCATCTCCTTTCAGTCTTCAAACTTTTCAGTTGCTTGTATTCACTCAGTCATTCAACACACCCAACATTATGGAGGCAGGAAGTATAGAGACCAAGGGCATGACCTCCGGAGCCAGAATGCCAGGGCCCGATCCTGGTGCTGCTACTGACTGCCGTGGGCAAACCATTTCACTTCCCCGTGCCTCAATTTCCTCCCCTGGGACAGGGAGGGTGCCTGCCTGCCTCAGGAGGCTGCTGCACACTGTGCGTTAAGTGTTAGCTGTTCTTAATGTTTGTGGGAGACACTGGTTGGCAGAGCAATGGTCCCAAAGATATCAGGTCCTAATTCCTGGAACCTAGAAATGTCACCTTAAAGACACCTTTTCAGATGTAATTAAGGTAAGGACCTTAAGATAAAATCATCCTGGATCCTCGGGGCGGCCCCTGCATGCCGTCCCAAGCGTCCTTATGAGGAGGAGGCAGAGGGAGATCTGAGGCCAGAGGGAAGGTGCCGTGAAGATGGCAGAGACTAGGCAGTGCGGGCCCTGAGGGCCGCCCTGGAGCTGGGTGAGGCCGCTGGACCCTCCCCTGCAGGTCTCAGAGGGAGCGCAGCCCCGCCAACCTAGATTTCAGCCCAGTGACACTGATGTCGGACTTCTGGCCTCCAGAACTGTGCCAGAATAAAATTCTGTTGTAAGGCACCCCGTGTAATCACTGGGCACAGAAGCCACTGGAAACTAACATAGGTGCAGAGATGGTTAAGACACCTTCCTGCCTGCGAAGAGCAGCCAGCCCAGAGGAGAGACACTCGGCCGAGCACGGTCCGTGCTCAGACAGGGCATGTCAGGGCCAACAGAGCAGGGAGGGCCCACCCCGTGCGTGCCGTGTGGGGAGAGAGGGACGTCCCTGGGAGGGGAGGCGGCACACTCCAAATAGGAGGGCCCCCAGGGCCAGAACTGAGGAGCTTGTCAGAAACAGCTGGTGCGGCAGAGGCCCAGTGAGGCAGGGGCATAGGACGGAGCACGGGCCACGCTGGGTCTGGGGTCTGGGCGCAGTGCACCTGGTCACCCATCTTGGTGTGGCCATCCGATCTGACTGTCGCCCTGGCCACGGATGGAGGTCCATGCCTCGGGCTCTAAGCCCCCCGGGAGCCCTCGTGTTTCCATCACAGCAGGGCGGGTCCTTCAGGCAAAGACGCTGCCACCTCCGATGAAAACTTTCCACAGTGAACTGAAGTGGAATATATGGGAGGAGAATTCAGGGGCCAGGAAATATCAACAGGATCAAAGGAACTTTAGACCTAAAAGCCACTTCACTGAGGAGACTGAATTTCCACACATGTGGAATATATTTATTACAGTAAGGATTTTGATAGAATTGTAAACCTTTGTCTAGATACCTGGTACTGGGTAGATGGGGATTTAGAATCTCCTGGGCAGTTTCAAGCTGATTGACACTCTTTTTTTTTGACCCTGGGTTTGAGCTTAGTTAGCCTTGGAAGAAACCAACTTCCTGGGTTCTAGGAAACAGAATAAAAAAAAATGTTTTTCAGTATTCTTGGAGAGCATTTACCAGGCCTCTAAGAAAACAACATTTGTGTGAATTAAATAAACCCTTGAAGTGGGTACAGATTATGTTTCCCATAAAATATACATCAATTTAAAAGCCGAGGGCCAAATGCGTTGGCAAAACACAGCCCAGTTTCTTGGCCAACTCCAAAACGTTTATAAAACATTTTAAGATTGTCAACAAACTTTCCTGAGACCAGACGTGCCCTGGGGCGGGGGTGGGCGGCCTGCCCCATCTGAGACGGAGCCCCCGGGCGCCCTCAGGCCGGCACTTAGGTGTGGGGCTCGCCCTGCATGGGCTCGGTCCTCCTCAGACCCTGTGCAGTCCCGCCAAGGCAGGAGGCCACCTGGGGTGCCATCCCGCTCCCCCTGCTCCTGCCCCACCTCAACTGTCTCTGACGGCAGGGAGGCGAAGCGCCGAGTTTTAATGTAAATCAGGCCAAGAAACGCAGGAGAACACGAAGGGGGGCTAGTAAACCATGGGACCTCTGCTCAGTGACACTGCAGCCATTGAGTAGGGACGCCGAAGACCCTGAGATGTTGGAAGCCTTCTAGGACCCATGGAAATAAAAAAAAGACTCACACTCAGATTGCAGATCAATAAAAATATAAACACACATGAACAACAACTTGAAGAAAAGATGTGATACTGAAAAAAGTTTTTCAATGTGAAACACCTCATCTCTGAAGCTGAGCCAGGCTGACCCTCTGCCTTCTCAGGAGGCTCGTCCTGAGCGGACTGATAGGCTCCCTGTGGCCTTCAAGGCCCTCCTGGGGACAGGCCCTGCCCCTGCATGCCAGGCACCTGCCCCGCCTCTGAAAACGCAAGATAAGCACACCCGACTCAGAGCCCTGCCAGCAAAGGGGGCCGCAAAGCGCATCCCTGACCGTAACCCACGGCGACCCACAGCTCAGGGCCCCAAGGCCTGCAGGGTCACTGGGCGATGAGGGAGGGCCCACTGGGCCTCCAGGGACCACACAGCTCTTTGGCCACGAGCTATTGGAATTATGCAGAACAAGCAAAAGAGCCAAACTAAAAATAAACATTTTTGAAGGGATAAAGAATGCAGATAAGATGCAGTTATTATGTTCAAAAGAACATGCGGGGGTGCAGGGGTTCCTGCCAAGGTGGTCAGCCCTGCCTGCCTGCCTGCACACCACGGGACTCGCTGGAGGCTCAGAGGCAATGCGCCTCCTCCACGCCCAGGAGCTGCTCAGAGTACCAGCCATCCGGGGTCTGTGGCAGCAGAGGTGGGCCGGTCCAGGCACGGAAACGGGGCCTGCTGCCCCTCAGGAGCCCCTCTTCTCCAGCCTGCTCCCTCAGCTCGCCCACCCCTGTGGAGAGCACCACCCCTGTGGGCTCCATGCACCCCACTGCCCACAGGTCCAGACAGCTTGGAGCCCCAGCAGGAGACGCTGGGTCAGGATGCGCTGGCCCTCGAGCCACGGCCACACCTCCCTCTCTACCGCTTCTGGGCTGCCGTGACTGCTCGCACCCTTGTTCCTTCAGGCCTGGAGGCGGGTGACAGCCCTATGCTCTGCCCACATCGTGCAAAGTTTCGTTTAATAAACTCTCCCTGAGTTTCTATTTTGGGGGCACCATTTTGTTTCCGGCTGGGCCCCTGCCTAGTAGAGCCACCTGGCAATGCATTCTCTGAGCAGGCTGGCGTGGCAACCGCTCCTAGTCCGTGTCTAACAAGGCCGCTGCAGCCTCGGCCACGGGCCCCCGGCTTCCGAGCTGCCCCTGGGGGCGGCTGATGCTCTTGCCACTGGTTCTGCTGCGGGGCTCGTCCTTCCAGCCCAGCTGCTCTCACCCCACCACCGAGACCAAACTGCTCTCCTGCCACCTCCGTCCTCTTCGGTCGGCCCCCTCAGGGGAGCTCACCACCTCCACACAGTGGTCTGCGCAGAGCTGAACAACCCACTGCAAGCACGGGCGTCCTTCCCATCCGGACCTCAAACAAGCTGCACCCTGATGGAATCCTTAGCCGGGACGGAGTTAATTCCGATCTGTTTATGTCTGAGAGCCTTCCCTGCACTCCCACATGCGCTTTTAAAAATATGTATGAGATGACTCAGCAACTCCACTTCTGGGTGTACACACAGAAGAACTGAAAGCAGGGCCCGTGAGAGAGATTTGCACACCCATGTTCACAACAGCATTATTCACATGATCAAGAGGTGGAAGCAACTCAAGTGCCCACTGATGGATGAATGGGTGAACAAAATGCAGTATGTCTGCCCACACGGAGTAGTACTCGGCCTTCAAAAGGACAATCTGACCCATCTGTGATAGGCATGACCCTTAGGGAGGTCATCCCAAGGGACGAGCCAGTCCCACAGACAAACACTGCACAAGCCCACCTGGACAAGGTCCCTGGGGCAGAGTCACAGAAGCGGGAGGCAGGATGGGGGCTGCCAGGAGCTGGCGGGGGTCGGGGGGCAATCAGGTTATTGTTGTTTTAGTTTTACAAGATGAAAAGTTCTGGAGATAATGGTGGCAATGGTTGTACAACATTCATATTATGAATGTTTAATATCTCCAAACAGTGCAGTTAAAAGTAGTTAAGACAGTAAATTTTATGTGTTTTTTTATTTCAATTTAAAATTATCCCAGTTCCAGACTCACCTGGGTCAAGAGGTGAACCCTGGAACCCCCGCTCAGAGTTTCTGCTTATCTGAAGCCCAAGACACGCAACCCCCTGGTTCAGCGATCATTCTCTTGACCCAATGTGCAGACTCCCTGAGGCCGGACCTGAGCCCCTCACACCTTTGACCTGGCCATGGGCACCCACCTGGTGCGGTCGGGCCAACAGGCAGGGGAGGGGGAGGGCCCCGAGCCAGGAGGGAGGAGAGCAGGTCCGCCCAGTGGCCGCTCCACCCCAGCGGAGGGCAGAGGACACTTAGCCCTTTGGAGCCTCTTTCTTCATCTACAAAAGGGGGGATGATACGGATGCGAGAAGCAAACAGGAAGCGTTGGGAGCTGTCAAGGGACAGAGCCGGTGAGATGCTGTTAGTCAATTTGGGCTTGTCGACGTAGACATGAGGGCGGCTGACCCTGTGAGCCAGGAGCTGCCTACTAACCGGTGCGACCCCCACCACGACCTTAGGCTAGGACCACTATTATCATCCCCGATTCACAGATGAAGAAACTGAGGCATAAGAAGTCAAGTAACGGGATTCGAGCCCAAGCAGCCCAGCTC